AGTGGAGGGGGGGGGGGGGGGGGGGGGGGGAAGACAAAAAAAAAAACATGAATCAAACATGAATCAAAAGCACGGTACAGAATGCATACGTAAGTGAATTGATTTGTAATTTTAGTGAATTTACAATGACAATAACTTTGAAACACGATTTAATATGAAACACGAGTACTGTATTGCATTTAATATTTTTAGATTATATCACCCTGAAGCATAATAAACGTTTTGTATGATTGTTTAAACTGATACAGATAACTGAATCGACAACAAAAACATACGTACTATGTAATTGTTAATCATATCCTTCATCGATAAATTATTTAAAGCATTCTTTCAGTTGATGTAAGTTCATAAGTGCCCACATTAATCTAGAACAACAATTCTCAAAGGCGATCGTTACGATGTTCCGAACTGTGTTAAAATAAGTACGCCACTTCATCGAATTTATCTAAAACTTAAGCTTTTTTTTGTTTTTACAGCGTTATTTTAACTACAGTCAACGGTGACGAAACGTTTTTGAAAGTGGGGGTGGGGCCATTTCATAAGGTCCAGTATGCGAGCGAAGCGGGCATACAGGCTGGCGCGCCCTGGTGGCCGCCAAGGGCACGTGTAAGGAAGACATGAATATTTTATAAGTTTTATAAGTTATTTTTATATAAGCTACTGTAATATGACTTCATATTTGTTGCAATTTCCAGTGACGGATCCAGGAATTCAAAATAGAAGGGCCCAGGGAGGGTGCTTTTACATAATATATTATAGAAGATTTATACTACCTCAGCCCCACCATGGTTGGGATTATGGCACTTCTAGATGGCCGGAAATTACACTCTGAGACTTACATTACAATTAGACGGTTAGCCTAATCCTGTAACTAGTTGTGCCATGGAGGAATTAGTTTAGTTCTAAAGTAATTCCTCTATGGTTGTACTAAACCGCTTGTATAAAGTGTGTCAGTTCGTCACTCCTCCCCCACCTTCCACCACTGGCACCATCCCTGTATATACTCACAGTTTTAAAATTAAAATTTCTTTAACGTGATTAATTTAGTTTGTATATTGATTAGACAATGTTATCTTCAAGTCATCTGTGAAGTTGGATGTCAAACATAAAAGTGAACCTGCATAAGGTGTTCTATCGCATGCTTCAGATTTGTGCAGCGAAACGCTTTCCTTTTTTACGATAATGGTAGTCACTATGTTAGGTTCTAATGAACAAAAGAGTATAGAATATAATCACTTTGTTTTTGTTCATTTTGTGCAAAAATCCGGAAAACTCCGTAACTCTGTTAGTATGTGTGCAGGAGAGTTGAATTTCGTATCATATTACTTTCTTTATTTCTATTAGCTGTAATCGAAAAATGTCTCCAAAAATTACCTGGAAAGTACTTATTACCGAAAACCCTGGTTTAGGGATAAACATAATTTTGGTAATTTTCTTACTTTTAAGTCCATAAAATGTTTAAATTCATTTAATACTGGCAAATAAGCTAAAGTGACAATAAATCACAAACAAATACATATATTTAAAATTCCTATACATATATGCAGAAAAATATATTCAACTTAACTTAAAAAAGGCCGTTTTGATAACATTTTCCAAAAATAAGTAAAAATACGTAAGTCTGTTAGTATATGTGCAGGACAG